CTATGCAATTCATTCCATCAGCACAAACTAATGCCCAAAATAGCTTTCTCAGACTTGGTAGATAGATCTAACCGCCCAAAATAGCTTTCTCAGACTTGGTAGATAGATCTAACCGCAATTTCCACAATTCCAAGCCAAATGGTGCCTGTAAAGTGAATGCATTCACCATTTCTATCACTATTTAAATATAAATTAATATTTTTAAAATGCATGATAAAATAATGGATTGATCAATAAATATTAATATATATTTAGATAAATTTAAATTGGTTGTGGATTCTAAGAAAGGTTGCTTTAAAGGCAGACAGCTGAACATTTATGTCTTTTTTTCAAGACAGCTGCAATTAAATCTCTGGGCATATTCTCATTTTTATTAGAAACCAAGTTAGGGGAGGGTTTTTTAAACGATTTTTCTGATACATGATGCAGTGGAACAAGAAAAGCAGGGACAAGAAACGCATGCTTTTTCCACAACTTCAAGGAAGGACTTGACATGTAAATTTAAAAGCAAGAGTTACTTAAATGGCTTTTTTTTTGGACAGCCTCCCCCAAACAGTAGACAAAATTGCATTGTTTACAAAAATTTATTAATACAAACTTTACACACTTTAAAATAACAGTGCTCAAAGTCCCAGCGGAGACCATGAGTGCTTATAATCATATTTTTTTTTATTCTTACCGCAGTGCTTTTGTGATACTCAAGTTGCTACACAGAAAAAGGAGAGGAAAAAATAGATATATAGATATAGATATAAATATTTCCCAAAGACTAACATCTAACCTCAGTGATCACTGGATTTCCAAAGAGGATCCACTGGATTTAAGGCTCTTGGCGATAGCTATTTTACAAACAGGCGATCACTGGCCGGATGGAAAAACGTACCCCGGCGGACTGGCTGCAACTAACTAGCTGGCTGACTGGCGGGGCGAAGCTGATCGCCACAAGCAAGTCAAAGGCAGAGCGCGAGAGAGCAGCCCGCGAGGTCGCCGTCTCCGCACCAAGCACGTGACGCGCGCGCGCGCGCACACACATACACACACACACACAGAGCACTTACACACAAACATACATTAAAAAAAAAAAAGAAGAAGAAAAGGACCGCGCGCGGCAGGAAAAGTTGTGCCTTGCTGTTTTCGTCAGAGAAGCGGCTGGCCAGAAATTCTACCCAAACGAGAAAGGGGAAATGGGGTGGGAGGAAAAAGAAAGAAAGAAAGAAAGAAAGAAAGAAAGAAAGAAAGAAAGGCAAGCGGATGTCTTGCAGCATTGTAGGGCCACTAAATAGCCATCTGTGATCTCGTGGCGATTTAAAAAGGCGAAGGGAAGGCACGGAAAGTTGCGTCCTACAGCACATGGCCTGAACGGGAGGCGAAACTCCAAAGGAAGTTGCGCTCAGAACCCCGCTCCGTCCTCGGGTCGAAGGCCCCCGGGCCGCAGACGACCCCATTGCAGCCCTGAGGACAGCTGCCCTGGCTGCAGTACTTGGGGCCCCGGCTGGACAGAGGGTGATTCCCTCCTCTAAGGGGAAGGGGGGGGGTTCAAAGCCAAGGCTAGGCCGGGTTTAAATAAAGTCTGCCCTATTTTTTCCAAGCCCCGTGGCACTGGCTCCAGCCCCTTCCCACCGGGTGCCCCAGGAGGGTTGATCGGAGAAGGATCAGGATGCCTAGCTCCCAAATTGTCAGCTTATGTGCGACAGAGGGTCACCGCCGACTGAGCCAGACAGCTGGCGATTCCTTATGGGAGGGTTTATTAGGGTAAAATCAAGCGGAGCGGTCAATTCAGACTGAAGTTCCACTAGTTCAAGATCACCTTTGGAAGGAGAATATTTTTAAAAAATTGCATGCGCCTTAAGACCATTTATTGTGGTTACTCTTTTATGCCTTATCATTAGAAGGAAAACGGGTGAAGCAGTTACATTTTGTAAACAAGGAAGTGTTCTCTTGGACTGGAGAAGCCTAAAGTATTAAGCTGTTTGAAATCATTGTCACTTGCTGTGCAATATACAAATATTAAGGAAATCAGCTGTAAGTGGCTGAATATACAGCCAGTCTTTATCAAGTGTGCAGGGTGGGGAATGGAGCACATTTTGCCACTAGCTTTCCACTTCCCGCTCCTGTTTTGGAAATAAAACTCTCAAGGTTTAAATCTATTTTTTCAGCCATTTAAAAAAAAGGGATGAGGGCATCAAATGTTTCTATCCAGTACATCTTTTCTATACATTCTGACCACCCTAAGCCCCAATTCAATCAATCCAAAGCAATCTCATAAAAGTGGATTTACACCAATATACCTAGCTGAACTATACTTAAAGGGGGGGGGGGTTAAGAAATATGTTTTTTCTCATTGAAATGACTTAAGAAATTCTGAGAAAGTATAAAGATTTTCCAAAGAGAAGGTCAGGTAAATCTATCATTTGAGAAACCACCAAAGGTCTTATGACACCTTAAATACTAACGAATGTGGTTGTTAGTGTTGAAGGTGCCCCAATCTATGTTTATGCTGAAGAACATGCTGGTATTTAAAAAGCCATGCCCTTGATTTTAGTGGATACCAAGTGATTGGTTTACTGCTCATTTTCCTAATTATTTGGATAACTTCAGTTTATTCATATCTGAGAGTGGCATTGTGCACAGGCCCACCATAGTCTAGATAGGTGAATGAACAGGGTTTAGCTTGGTTCCAATAGAGTTCCAATAGAGGTAGGGAAAGCTTTTTGATCACAATACTTTTATTGGATTAAATCCAAATCCTGCCAACTGAATCAGGAGATATATTTAGTTGTTCATTCTCCAGACGAGAGAAGGGGAGAAAATTAAGTACCTTCTTAGTTAATTTCTGAATACTCCACTCCATTCCAATCCCACCCTCGCCCACCTCCCCATCACATTTCCAAATCCCCATCCATACAGAAAGATGATTGATAAATATCAGAAACTGAAGCGCAGATGAACACTACACATTCTAGTATGACAAAAGTTGATTGTATGAAATAAATTTTACTAAGCGGTTAAAGCCATGATGTAGAAAAATACATTTTAAACCTCCAAACTCAATAAATCAACAAGGAACCAAAAGAATTAAAATATATATATTTTAAAAGAACCTTTTCTGGAATAGTGCGTTAAGTATTTAGTAGTAGATATAGATATATAGTCGCTACAACAAGGGAAGGGGGCCTGAAACGGTCTTACAATCAGAGCTCGCGTCATAACAAAACTCAAAAATGCCTGAGGCGTTCACAATATAATTTGTTCGTTGTTGTTTTCAAGCCAAAACAAACGGAAATGACCCGGATGGAAAACACAACATTGCGAGAGAGGCCAAAAGGGAAGGGATGCGTAAAATCTACGGGCAACACCGAAGGCGAAAAACGTGGCTCCCCCTGGCCAGGCCCGGAGGGGCGATTCCAAAGAGAAAAGGCCGGCCAATAGAGCAAGATGCGAGGGCGCCTGGGCAGCACTGGAGAGGTGCACGGGATCCTTTGTAGCACGCGGTGGCCCTAAATCTCTGGGGAGGGCTCGAAGAATTTTGGGGTGTCCCCTAGGATTTATTTCGTGCCTTACTAGAAAACGAGTCCAACAAGGCGAACGGTCCTGGCTGGATTCCACCTCCTGATAAACTGGTTTTCTAGTGGCAGAGCGTTTCTTTCTGCCCCTCCCAGCCCTAGTTGAAGTGGCACCGTCCGCTATATCGCGCTCATTGCGCGGAAGCGAGACAACTAATTTATTTAACTTTGGGTCTGGATTGCGTCGATCCAAACTCAGAAAGAACTGGGGAAGAGGTATTTCTTCTGTTCCTTAAGGGAAGCATTCTAACTCCCATAGTTATTTCTAGAAAAGAAAGTACGAATAGGTGCGCACTTAGAAACCAACCTATTCTTATGGTTTGGAGGAAGGGCTTCCCCCACCGTATCCTTCCCTGAAAAATGCATATGGGTACATTCTCTCTTACTAACTGAACGGAGCAGCTACAGTACTGCACAGTACTGAGCCCTAGATCTTTAAGCAGACCGTAATGGCCCATAGTTTCTAAGTAGCAGGACGATCTGCTGACTGGGAGGAGGAGAGTAAAAAAAAAACGGACTAGAGGGCAGCAGGCAGGTTCATGCTGCATATTGTGTAGCCCTGAGTAAGCTCACTCTTCGGGGGGAGGGGGGAGGGCGGGGCAGACCGATTCTTAGGAAGATGTCAAGGAAGTAAGGCAACGCCTTCTCTAGCCCGATGGGGAGGGGGGGGTATTGGGCGAGGGCCTTTCGGGAAAGACTCAAAGGGGGCAGAGATGCTCTCTGCTCAAGAGCATCCTGCACCCCCTTGGAACAGAGTATTTTTGTGAATGTACAGTAGCAAGTGGAGAACAGTTATTCTTTCAGCCCTGTCATAAATAAAAATACTCTCCTTTATTTTCCATTACAAAAATAGGAATCATATTCAAAGCAATGATTGTCTCCCTCTTACTCTCCAACTCTTCTATTTTATATAAAAACATAAGCTTAAGAGGAATGTCCTCATTCTTTTTGTGCAAAGCTAACCACTAAAGGACTATTAGTCCGGTCTGTTCACTAACTACTACGCCGGAGTTTTACCCAAATCACTACCTTTCAAACAGTAAGGTAGCTGTCTGGGGATGATAGGAATTGTAATCAAGCAGATTTGAAGGGAATCTGGTTTGGGGAAAGCTCTATCACTAGTGCATTCTTATCCAATATTTATTGATTATTTTATATCTATTTATTTAAAGGGTTGGTCTACAAAGTAGATCTGTGCGTTTCTCTAGTGCTTACTCTTAATTTAATTTTTTTGTACAAAAGAAAAACAATATTATTATCAAAATAGTCATTTAATGGCTTTACTTCATACATAAATACATGTTTAGATAACATAGGAGAGTGGTGATTGATCAGTCAGTTTGGAAATGACTTTGGGGGAGGGGTGGGTCCTCTCTCAGATTTTTTTTTTTCCCCAGGGGGGACTCTTGTGTACACAGAGTGGTTGGGAGCTCATCGCTACAAATAAGCTACTCGCCGTCCTTTGTTTTTAACTCTTTGTTTATACCTTTTACCCAGGACTGCTGCCAAGTATTTCTTGACAGCCATTTGTTTTCGGTAGCGGCTGTAGCTATCTGTGAATATGCCATCAGAGTGCCTTTTGGAAAGGGGTTCTGAGTCGTCCTCCAGGCTGCTGGCCCCACTGCAAGGGAAAGAAAGAAAAGCAAACCATAGCTGGTACAACATTGGGATCTACAGACAGCACCAGTAGACGCAGAAGCAAAATCTCTGGGGAGAGCAAGGAAGAAGGAATTAAAAATGTACCGAATGAAAATGCCTGGTAGTCAGTGAAAATAGCAGTGACTAAGATCCCAATAGCTGGGCTTTGGAAAGGGACTTTTCACACCTGTGTGGATAAGCAGTTTCTTGAATTCTGTTTCTTTTATTAGCAAGATCCTTTTAGCCTTTGATAAGCCTGCTTACTTTGCATTTTAGGTGGCAATGCTGAGGATCATCACTCCCTCTTTTTCTTCCAGACCAAATGTCCCAACCTCCTCCCAGAAGGTTTGCCTGCCTTGATCGCGCCCATTCCCTTTTTTTTAAATTTCTTTTTAATAACCTACGGATTTTTCCAATCATTATTTGCCTTCGCTCAAACATATCCCCCCCAAAATTTGGGCTGGGTGGGAATTGGAATGTTTTTGTTCTTCTGTATGTGCTTGGTTGATGAACAGCTAAAGCAACACGTAGGCTGTGGGGTGGAAGCAAAGGGGAATATCAGTGCTTCCTTGAGGAGGAGACAAAGGATTTCTCTGAACATGCTGCGGAAGTTGAAGACTGATCACAATGCAAGCCGACAGTCAGTCGGGGAGACCAGCTCATCAGGTTCTGCATTATTCATGAACAAATTGTGTAATCCATTCTCCCCTTCATTAAAATGTTGCCTTCTGCTGATAGGTACAGTGACACATATGAGCATGCTGGGCTGCTATCAGCCTGGGAGATTTGATTTCAAGCCACTAAGACTGGGAGGTACTGTTCCCAAGTCCTTCTCTTGTGCTATCCGTTTAATTTTCATGCCACAAAGTCCTTGATAACTCTATATTCTGGATCAATGGAAATGTGATCTTTTCTTCCTCTGAGACAGAGACCTTTAGCATTGATTCATCACAGAGCAGGTTGGGGCAGCAGGGGCAGCATCCCTAAAGGACTGAAGTGTACAGTAACTGAGGCCGTTTAATCAGCTGAGCTTTTCATGCAGTCAGTCTGAAGGGGTGATACCAACAGTATCATATTAAACAGCATTTAGGGATAATAATGGAACAATTCAGAATTGCAAATCAGAGAACTTAGTCCAACTGATTTTAATGACCCCTCAATAGATTGCACACTAAGGATATTCAGATTGGGACCCCAAGGGTAACAACAAAAGGGGGTGTTAAATATTGTTCTGAATTTTGCATCCAGACTTTGTAGAGAAAAAAAGAACAAGGAGATTACTGGCCAAGGGAACAATATTATACAAAGGACCTGACTTTTGCATTCAAATCAATGCTCCTTGTCCTGAAAGATGTTCCACTGAGACCAAATGAGGGAACTTTATTTCCATAAGAATACATTTAGGATTGCAACCCTACAGTCCAAGTCTTGCACATTGCACAGCAGCATCCAGGATGAATCAAGCTATTGGACCACAGGCCAGCAAGGAGGCTGGCAAGTCAGATCAGAAATTCATTTGTATGAATGAAAGAATATGTGTAGTGCATAGGTTAAGTACTGTGATGCAAAAGGCATTTTTCATTTCTTCCATCGAAGACATGGGACTGCAAGAGATTCAAGCACATGCCCAGTGGAAAGAAAGTCCATTTTGCTTAAAGCACACATCATCTTGAGGAGGAAGAGAGAGGGAGAGACCTGAGCATCTAAATAATATGTTGTGGCTGTTTAATACATTTAGCAGTCCCTGAGGGTGGAGCTGTCATTAAGCCTTGTTTCTTTAAAAGCAGCTTGTTTTGCCTTCTAAGGCGAGCACAAACAAACAAGAATCTGCAGATAAGAGACAACATCTTACCCCACCCGCTTGGCCATCAGAGAATGCAGATACTTCCTTGCAGATAACTGGCCCAGCACTTTTCTGTAGGCTTTATTAAGTATCCCATCTGCATGCCTAAAAAGGTGAAGTGGAAAGAGCACAAATTAAAGTTTAAAAAAAAGCAACAAGGGGTTCTGATTACCCCATTCCCATGGACAGCATAAACACACACACACACACACACACACACACACCGGTCTGCAAGCCGATAGGCCATCGAGGAGCAGGGAAAGACCGCTGGGAGGGCGCCGGCATCAGCCTGGCCCCTACTACTCCTTGGTATTCCCCAGGGAGACCGGGCCGCGCCTATCTTGGCAACGGCGTCTGGCTGTCAAGACCAGCTGCCTCCCCCCCTCCCCCACCCCATCGACTTCAAAGGCTGGGTGATGGCTGCCGACTCCCGATTCCCGTTTTTCCAGGGTGGGGGAGAAGCGGTAAGTCTGATTTCGTCTGCCTTCCTCTACTGACCACCCTTTCCCATTATTTGTTCGTCCGGGCTGCCTCTGGACTCTTCCAGAGGGACGCCGTTGATTTGGCTCTCTCTTTCCTCCTCCTTCAAGACAAAGCTCGGGAGCGCCAGGGAAACCCGCCCGCCACACCCACCGATGTGAGCTGGGATGTAAGCGACTGTTCCCGGGCGCTCTGCTTGCAGCAGCATCCTTCAAAACATATAAATGCAACATTAAATCACCTTTTGTCCGGCGGGTAATACAAAGTATACATGTCGTCCAGCATGGAGGAAGGGTCGGCTATACTGAGGGGTTCGCTGTCAAAGGCATAGTCCGAAAGAGTGTTGCCCTCTTCGTCGTACATTTCATCTTCCAGCCTACTGAAGGAGAACAGAGGCACAAGCTTTGCCTTAATTTGTGGGGATGCATCGGAGGGGCGATTTGGGAAGGGGAAGGATGGGAGTCGGTAAGCAGATGGGCGCCCACCCGCCACCTCTGCCTGAATAAGATGGGTATTTCCTGGAAAGAGAGAAAGGCACCACCAACCCTGTTACACACCTGCTGCTGCTGCTGCAAAAACCCCGCTGCCCATCCCGACAACCTCAAAATGAGAGAAACGACAAGCTGGGAATTTGGAACCGGTTGCCCAGCTAACTCTGGGACGATTGCCAATCTTTTGGGAAGAAGGCCCGGGGTAGAAAGATTAAAAACTCAGCCTAAGTCTGAGCAAGCGCCTCCCCTGGGCTAGCGCTTTGGCTCGCCCTTCCTCTTTTAGTCTGCCAATAGACCCGTTTTGCAAAGGGACAAAGGCGGATCTGAGAGACCAATGCGGTAAGGATTGGGTTTTTTTTTCTCAAGTCCAAAATCGCCCGGCTCTTCTCCTGACCCAGATGCCAACTGACCCGCTCTGCTTTCACCTAACCTGCGGGTGTATTTCTTAGTCCCCCCGGGACAATGGAAACCCCAAAAGGAAGAAACGGGGCCTTGAGCACCAGTCCTGGAGCTGGAAGGGCAACGGAGACAGGGGCGCTATCGGGTTGGCCTGGAACACCAAAGCTTGCCACGAAACAAAGAAACGCAAGGCAGAGTGGCTGCTGCCGGCGGACTTGCACTTTCTGGGAAACAAGGTTGTTCCCTTTTCGCCCACCAGCCTCCTACGACAGCGAAACTCTCTCGGGCGCTTCTGCGCGTTTCTTGGCGAGGCGCAGTTGACAGACGCAGTACCCCAACGCTGAAATCGTTGCCTGGGGGATCCAAGAGAGCTGGCTTCGCTTCCCACTGTATTCACCCCCTTAAATGCATACACGCCCACACCCACACCCACACCCACACCCACACACAGAGGACCTTTCTCTTCCTCCTCACTTCGCCTCCTTGTAGCCTTCCCTTCCTCCCCCCCCCCCCTCCACTACCACCACCACCCCGCCTCCTGTTCCCTCCGCCGTTTCTCTGCTTTTAGGTCATTGTGCATCTCCGGCAGTTATTTTCGTCGGCGGAGCTCCTGGCAGGAGCGATCAATAATAGATGCTCCTCAAGTGTTTCGCGGCTGCTAATTCAGACGTTTGAAGGCTGCCGGCGCCCCCTGAGCCAAAAGTAGGGAAGGGATGCCTCTCACCCGGTTCAGGCTGCTGCTTTCCAACGCCCCCTGCCCCATTCCATCCCATACAGGTGGGATTCGGGAAGAGGGAAGGACGAGCGCGGATAATCGTCCCGAGCACGGGGTGGGTGTGGACAAAGCTGGTTCGTTTCAGGACAACCTCGGAGTCTGCGCAGCAGCGCAATTTGCGCTTTTCGGCCGCTCTTTCTGCGATTGCCAAGAGTGCGCCGCAGTCCCCCCTTTCCCGTGGGAGGGAAAGCCTGTTTTTGTCTCCAGGATTGGTGGAAAGGGGGGAAAAAAACCCCAACCTCCTCCCCCCCCCCTTTCTCTCCCCGCGCCTACGCGCCTCCCAGTTCGTCTGGACTAGAATCCAGCAATGTCTTGAACTTCTTAAAGCTTCCCTAAAGGGCTTGGCAGCTCTCAGGGCGGGGAGGAGGCAAAGCGCGGGGGCTTTTTCTTCTCGAGAAGCAGCCCTCAGGACGGCTTTCCTCGACTAAAACTGATTTCCCTCCAGTAGCTTTGGCAGGTTTTTTCGAAATGTTCCAACTAGTCTGCATACCCCTCCTTGCCGAGCCTCAATTTGATTAATTTGGGCTTTAGCTGGCAATTAATGTAGACTGCCCTTGAATAAGGAGGTGTTACTCAGCCAAATAGCGATTTCTTTTTATTTTGTGTCAGAAATTTGTATACATCTTATTAGCTCTCCTCTAGTCCCTGCTTTATTTTTTTCAGTCACATACTACTTTGGTTCCCTCCTATCCTTCAAAGTCACCAAACCTTTGAGATTAAGAAGTGCAAGGGGGATGCCACAACAGCCATCCTTTATTGACACGCCTGTGTGGATTATGAAATAAATCTTGTGGCACATATAACGATAACTAGACTCCCCTACTAAATCCTTCTTTGCGTCTTTGGGACCAGTCTGGCAAACCAGGCGGAGTTTGAAATTAATGATATTAAATCTTCAAAGTAATAAGTAGTTTTTCTTATTCAATAGACTTTGGTGAATTTATTTTAAAGAACTGATTGATTTAGAATTTATTGCTAAACGAATAAATTTAAATTTGGGGCATAAGAAAGTGACTTGAAGGAGGTAGTTAAAAACAGTCCTAGAAGATATTATTATAGGATAATCATGTCCTGCACCAATCTTTTGGTGTAAACCTTTTGGGTTTTTTTCTAGGAATTCCAGAAATAAATTACATGAAAAAAATAACTGACACGCCTAGAGGGAAGGAGGAGTCTAACAGTCTTCCTTCATTTCCTTACCATGACAGGAAATGAGGTAAGAAACCAACTGCCTCCTGAACTGAAAACCATTGGGATCCGATAACCCCATTCTGAGAATCTGTATTAGCCAACCTTTCAAATCTTAGAAGAAAGTCAGCAGACAGAAAGCATTAGCCAACCAATGCTGCCCTTTGGGGGGGGAAATTGGCCCTACACCATGTACTGCTTGACTTCAGTTTGGACTACACTTCAGTTAATTTAAATTTCATAGAATTAAAAATGTTGGCTACTACAAAATTAAGACACCAATGGGTCTATCTCAGCTCCTGCAGTTTTATTACCAGTTACAGAAATGTTTTGCTACTGCTTTCTTCCAAGACAGGTTTCCAGCTTCCCATGCTAACTTACATCCCTGGGATGTTCTGGTGGTCTCCCATTCAATTACTAACCGGAATCAATCTTCTTTCAAATTAGCCAATTTACAGGCATCTACTGAAATAAACTGGCATTTATCAGGTAAATCAAATGGTCTGGCAATTCTCTGAAAATCTATCATGTACAAAAGGAATAATTTCATTGTACATTAGATATGGTTTCAAACCTTGATTCGTACTACCAGCAATGTAATAGATGATGCAGTGTTTTAACTGCAGCCAAATACCTTCCTCTAGTAACTTCTTTAATGCCTGCCAGATAATAGGCTATGGGCAACAAAATTCCAGATCAAAAATAGAGTTCTAGCGTATACATGTATAATTTTATCTTGGAATCTACATAGATATTTACATAGTTTCATTGTAAGGCTGCTAGATAACAATTGATCTAAGAGTAATATTTATTAAACGTTTTAGGCTAACTTCTGGAAAATTATGTACATACTCATATTTAGAAATAAATTCCATTGGGATAACTGGCTCTTGCTTCTGAGTAAGCATGGCCACCACTAATGCTTAGCATTAATCAGAATTTCTACATTTTTTCTTTATGCTGGAGATAAGCTCAAAGATATGTAAATAACACTTACAAAGGTGTTTTATCCATTGTGATCCTAAACATGCACCTAGAGAGTACTATTCTAGGATTATTTAGGATACTAATTTGAAAAGGGGAAACCACTGACTTCGTGTTTCAGTCAGGGATTCCCAAGAGACTGTGATAGAAAAGTCTAGTCCAAAAGAACTCCCCCCCCCCCACCTTACCCAAATCAAAATTATTGCTCTGGAGGAAGACCAGAGGAAGAATAAATCTTGCCAACTTGAGGCAAGGTCTAAGAGATGGAAGCTTCTACTGAGCAATAAATTAAGCAAAACGCACGCGCGCGCGCCCATACATGCACATGCACTCAAGCACGCACGCGCGTTTTCTTGTTCCCTCTCTCTCACACACGCATATATACACACCCCAGTCAAAATACTGTCACCTCACAGGTTTTTGTTGGACATTCCGTTCTCCCACACTACTAGAGGATTGCGGCCTGTCTTGAAACTAAGAGTCCAAGTGGACCACCCAACTGGGGTCCATACAAAAGAAAGAACCCGGCGATGGCCCCCTGCGATCTCAGTTTTCCCAGCCCGCCTTAGCAGAAGTTGCCCTCCCCTTTGGCCAGATGTGGCGAAGTCTCCTTGGACGGGGGGACTAAGCTCGCGAGCTCTAACCTGGACAGCTCCGAGCGAGACGGCCGAGCCGCAAAGGAGCAGACGAGCCAGGCGCGCCGGGCGGCGAACGACAGCCAAGGCTGGACTCTGGCTAGGGGGCGGGGAAGGAAGAGTAGGGCACTTACCTCAGCGCGGGGTACTGAAGTCCAGCAGCGGCGGCGGCGGCAGCAGGTGAGCAGTAGACGCTGCAGTGCATAACCAGCCCATAAAGCAGCAGGGCGAGAAACGCTTTGCTGCACATCGCCACTCTGGGAGGGAGGGAGGGAAGGAAGGAAGGAAGGAAGGAAGGATGGAAGGAAGGAAGGAAGGAAGGAAGGAAGGAAGGAAGGAAGGAAGGNCCCCCCCCCCCGAGCTGTTGCACTACAACTCTCTTACTCTTCGGCTGGCAGGATGAAAATTGTAGCCCGGCGCACCTGATCTGGTGGTGACTTACCATTCAACTCGAGAAGAGTGAGGACGGGACTTAAGTCTGGATCCAAAAGGCTTTCTTCCGAACTTTCGGCGGCTCTAGTTAATCCTCTTGAAGCATCGCTGCCTCTCTCTACTTCTCTGCCTCCCGTCCTCTGATGGGCAAAAGGGAAACCGCAGAAAGGGAGGGGGCGTGTGGGATAGACAGCAGAGCGACCGCTGGTTGTCTGCCTAACTTAAAAGGAGGGGGGGGGAGGAAATCCTCTCAAATTACAAAAAGGAAAAAAAAAAAAGTTTGCAGAAAGTAGAGCCTGACCAGGGAGCGTTGAGACCCCGAAGAGAGCAAGGGGAATAGAAAAAGAGCGGGCTGTTTAGGTGGGAAGAGCCCCAACCGATCAGAGCAGCAGCAGGTGAGAGCTAGCTGTGTTCTTCCGAGGTTTCGGAGCTTCTGTCTTCACGGAGCTGCTTCTGACGTCCGTTGATCTTTTCTCCGCTCTTATTTTTCTGCGCCTTCCAAGTTGAGGAGTCTTCCGCTGTTGGCCGCTGACATCCACCCGCCTTTCTCAGCTGTCAGATCTTTTGCATACTTGGCTTTCTGATCGACAGCTCTCGGTCGCACACAGGAACCTCTCTCTCTCTCTCTCTCTCTCTTTCCCTCTCTCTCTTGTTGCCTTGCTGTGTGCCTAGCTTATTTTCTTTCGCGGTTGATGTGGCATTCGGATTTTTATTTGCCAGTGACTTTTCATTTTTGTTGTTGCAGTCACGTAATAATCGGTATCAGAAAAGACGTCACCACTCCAATACCTCAAGGGACATAACGACTCTATGTCCAAGATGATGCGAACAGGAGTCATGAGCTTCTCATAAGCACTTGTTTTAAGTTACATTTCCTCCCACCCCACCCCACCCCAGCAACCCCTTCCATGGTTTTTTCAAACTAAAGTTTCAGCGAAATGTCTTCCTCAAATTTCACACTTTTCTTTACATTTCTTTCATGACATTGAATTATATGTTTAATTTTTATTTATTTTTAGACCGTGTTTTTACTGCTTGTAAGCCACCCAGGGTCGCTGAGAGTGAGTGGGTAGCCATATACATTTTCTAAATAAAGTAAACAATTAAAAAAAAAAACCTCTCTTGCTCCTAAACGTCTTATTGAAAGCAGGATGGGATGGGAAAGATAAAATTTGATGGAAGTTAGTTTCAAATAAAATTCCAAAAAACATATCCTCCCAACTAAGTGATCTTTTTTTTTCTTTTTAAACTGAAGACCTGCCACAATTCCTAAATACTATATTCTTGATTACAGAATCAAAAAATCTTGGAAACCATTTGCTGGTTCAGTTAAATACTGTAAAGAGGATTATTGCCCTTGTTCTTGCTATAATCAATATTATTAGTTTGGGGAAAACTGCTTGAAGCTATAGATTATTAGGAAATCTCTAATTATAAATAGCAATTGACAGTTTCTAGCCAGAGGGGGCAGGAGGTAGGAGAATAATTTCTTCCCTGGCGGAACTGTCCAAGCACAATGGTGCTGAACTGGCTTTGGCAAATAAACAAGGACCTTGGGGGGGAGGAATGCCCTATGGAGCTCCAATATTGGAAGGCAAAGCAACGTTAGAAATTAATCAGCTAGTCCTTAAAGTCCATAAGCCTAGTCCGGCTTATTGAAATGATATTTATTTCAAATTCTTCATACTGTTTTGAATTTTTTCTAAAAAAAAAAATATTCCATGTGGCACTCCAAACTCAAAATAGATTGCATCCTTTTAGATGTAAGAAAAAATGCACCAGATTTTATGCTTCTTTTAAGACTCCATCATAACACATAATGCAATACTTTTAACAACAAATAATTATTTCTATGTTTGAAGTAACAATGTCGAAACTATGAAAATATGAAAAAGAAGAAAAGTATTAGAATGACATGAATGCTAGTTTTAAAAATCCATCCTATTTTCTGTACAAAAGCAAGTTGGCAGTTTGAATACCCTCCAGATCAGCACACAGATCTTTCTTAAAATGTCAAATCCAGGAAAATTCTTCAGGAAATTCTTCAAAACATCATTATCTATTGCTTGGTCACCATCCCTAGACACCAACTATGAACAGAGATTCTTTTAAATCCAGTTTTCAAATAACATCCTATTGTTCCTTTGCTTCCCTTTCAAAAGTGAAGTCCATATTTATTTTAAACTTTAGGAAAGTGGGAAAGGACTTTTGATCATTTTAAGATGATGAAAACCAAGAATGAAATTAGCCATCGGGCTTTTACTTTCTGATTCAATTATTTGGTTTACAGGGATAAATAGGGGACTTTTGGAACTTAAAACACAATTCTTTGTTTTCCAGTAGTGAAAGAAATACAACAGCAGTAGAAATTGTAGTAAAATAATAATAGCAATAACAACAGAGATCAGCCAAAGCAATCCTCTAATTTGTATTTAAATTTTTGTATTTCAAAAGAATATAAACTTTTTTTTCTTAAGGGTGTACCCCAGAAGTTTATGCAAATTTGAAGTTTTCTGATAAGAATCAGTGGAATTCTTGTAATATCGCCCTAGAGAAATTAGCTTTCTTCTCAAAGAACTGTGTAGATTTTCAGAATCCTGAATCCTTCCTGGAACATTTCACTACCAAAACCCTCTTGCAAGCTGCCTCTGCCACCTTGTGGGAAATTTAAAGCCTACATGGTTGAATGCTGTGCTTCAAACTCTGTTTTTCCCACCATACCAAGGTCTTGAAGATCCTTAAATCCATATCAGTTCTGTTTGTGCTTTTTTATCAATATTGTTCACAATTGATAATTTCATTACTCTTATGTTACTCTTGTACTAGATATCTGGAATTTAAAAAATGGGATAATCAGGAGTTCATAATTCAAATACAGAGATTTTTTTTTCTGAGATTGCTCCAGTAAACTTTCCTGTTTGGGTAAATATTTGGACTATACAATTATTATATTATTCATAAATATGTTCATTTATATTGTTTATATTATTATGTTTTCTTATCAAATTTCACTGCAGATAGGTTTTTTTTCCATTTTCAGTTTGGAACTTTGATTTTGGGGGGTCTATCTCATATTATTTTTGGTTAACCTGGTTATGAAGAATGAGTATATAAAAATTTCTAATAAAACTAATAACATAAAATATTCAGAAATATTTATATAAAAAAGACAAACATAAAGATCAGTCCCTTAAATAAACAATGCAATCAAAAATAACAATGATGAAAAAAAGATCACAGTCCTAAATGTGCTCGTTTAGAAGCAGGTCTCACCGAATACAGTAGAAGTTCCTATTTAGCAAACACGCATAAAGCTATAGAGATTCAAGTTATTTTTAAATAATCTTTGCTTCATGTGCACAGGATCTGGAAGAAAAAACTCAAAGCAGAATAAAGATTGATTTTAAAAGACACAAATTTATATTTCATTAGAAAGACATAATTGTCAGATACACATAATCAGTCATAATCACATATTTAATTAGGCACACATGTGGTGCCATTAGACATTCATAGTTCAAAATTTGGAATGAAGATGTAGTTTGAAATCACAGTGAAAATTCTCTTCTATTCCTTTCTGATTATAAGCTGTCAACTGAAGAAATATCTCTTCAGTGCAAACACTTCATTTCATTTTTGTACATGCCTTTTAGAAAACTGAAAACAAAAAAAGGATTTAGACAGACATAAAGAATGAAGTAGAACCTTTTGCAATATTTGTATTGCAGTATTCACATATGAAAAGAAGTAGAAAACCTGGCCCCTCAAAACAGATTCCATGAGCCTCCCTTTAGTAAGAGAAATCATGAAATGAAATGTGACATGTTAAAAGATACACAAAAGCAATGCAGAATCATCTAGATGTATCTCAGTATCTTTCACTCTGTTTCTCTCTTTCATACACCCACATACACGAAGCCTCACAAACAGAGTGCTTTCACATCCTTTTCCTTAAATCTTGCCCTATCAAAACATTTTCTTTTACCCCAATCTGCTAACTAGTTCACTGGTCTCTTTTCTCAAAAAAATCCCACTACAAGCCAACTATTAGAAGTACATGTGGTCTGCATAGGGATCATTACTACCATAAGAAAAAATATATATTGTTTTCTTTTCTTTAATATAAACCAATTTTCAGAATAAACAGTGGATCTTTGAAATGCTAATTCTTGGTTCAGATGTAGTGGTCCCCTATATTTTCCTGTAGGGATTAACCTGATACCTTGACTGAAGGTAGAAAAGGCAGCATAAATGAAAGCTTTTTGAATATTAAAAATAATAATCCCCAAAGGAGTGCAGAGAGATAATTCTCATTATTATTAATTTTCCTCCACCATTTCTTAAAGGAAGCTGTGGTCAGGGGATTCTCGACATAGTCAAATGTTTGCTGGGCTGCAAAGTCTTCACTTTGCTAAATAATCCATGTGAACTGGTTATTCCACAGGATTGTTATAAAAATGCCTCAGTCCTGCAACTTTCTTTCCTTCAAGATGGATTATAAATCAGAGTATCATCTGAACAATCATCATGAGTTATTATGTTTGGAATACAATATTTATTTATCTTTCCTATACTTCATAGGACTGAGTCAAATGTAAATTATGAAGTATTCAAGTACCTCCTAGAAATTTCTTTTCATTCCGGTAAATCAGACTATTAATACTTTTGTTCTACTTCATCTTAACGTGTCACAATACTACTGCAATTTTTGGTTTTTGTTCTGAACCTTTGAGGCACAAATTGTTTTTTCTCCTTTCTTAGCATCAGTTTATGATCCTAGCTTAGCTATAAAGCAAAAAGACATCATCTCCAAAGATT